TGGTATAATAGTATTGATATTGGTATAATTAGAAAAAATCGATTTGAATCGTTATTTAATATTAATCACTACTAATCGGATTTTTTTTTAACTGATATATATCGATATATATCGATTACTAACTAACTCGATAGCCAATAACCGATTAATATCGATAGTAATCCCCTTGCAAATTTTGGTGATGCTAGCCAAACCACCAGGTTGTTACACTGGAGAAAAAGAACACACACTCTGAAAGTATGGACCAAGGAGAGGGCAACTGTAAGGCACCTAAAGCCTGGGCAAACTGACCTTTTTGGGTTGCTAGCTGGAAGTAAAGGAGAGACCAATAAAGAATCTGGGTAAGAAAATGGTCCAAATGTGGGTACTGAGGTTGTTGTAAACTATATAAGAGCAAGAGTATATAATAGACAACTAATTAAAAAGGTTGTAGCTTGAGATACAAATTGGGTTACGGCAAGACCTTAGTAGCTAGACTACAAAAAATTTTCCAGTTATGTGAGTAATATCCAATTAAAATAATCAAAATATTAAAGATCTTTTTAAGATTTTGAAAAATATTTTTGATTCTAGAGAAGATTTTCAATAACAAGTTGATTAAACTTAGTAAATCTTTTTTTATTTTAATTCTATACTTTTATAGAATCAAAATAAAAAAAAAAATTCATTGAATTTGGATAAATAGTTGTTGAGAAATCTTTACTAAAAGGTTTAGAAAATATTCGAATATCTTAAAAAAAAAACTAAAAAATTGGGTTAAATTTTTTTTTTTTTAACTTTAAACAACAATTTCTCAACAACTATTAATTTAAATTTGATGAAATTTTTTATTTTAATTTTGTAAGTTTATAGAATTAAAATAAAAAAAAAATTTTATTGAAATTAAATAGGTCATTGTTAAGAAAGTTTAACAAGAGTTTTTTAAAAAAAATTAGCTATAGCTTCTTTTTTATAAATATCTAAGCTTTGAACAAAGATTACTCAGTACTTATCTGATCAAATTTAATTATTTTTTTTTTTAATTTTAAAAGTTTATATAATTAAATAAAAAATTTTGATCTAATTTGATCAGATAAATGCTGAATAATCTTTGTTCAAAGTTTAGTTATCTATAAAAAAAAAAGCTGTGGCTAATTTTTTTCTAAACTATTTAGTAAAGTTTCTCAACAACCACCTGTTCAATTTTAATAAAATTTTTTTATTTTAATTCTATAAACTTACAGAGTTAAAATAAAAAAAAATTCATCAAATTTAGAATGATACATGTTGAGAATTCATTCATTGAAAGTTTAAATAAAAATTTTATTATAATTTTTTTTAAAAAAAATTTTTTAAAAATATTTAAATAAGGATTTTTCAGCAATTATCTATTCAAGTTTGTTAAAAATTTTTTTATTTTAATTCTGTAAGTTTATTAAATTAAAATAAAAAAAAAATTATTGAAATTGGATAGATGGTTGTTGAGAAAATTTACTAAATAGTTTAGAAAAAATTATCTACAGCTTTTTTTTATAAATATCTAAACTTTGAATAAAAATTACTTGGCATCTACTTAATCAAATTAGACCAAATTTCTTATTTTACTTCTATAAATATATAAAATTAAAATAATAAAAAAATTAATCGAATTTGATCAGGTAAGTGACAAGCAATCTTTGTTTAAAGTTTAGATATTTATAAAAAAAAGGAATAATTGATTTGTAACCAGAGGTTACACTTTATTTTTGTAACCGGATAACGTGATTAGTAATTACCTAATCAAATTCGCCATATATATGCTGTTTCAGTAACCCGGATGACCCAGAGCATCGGAAATTAAAAATATGCAGTAACAAATACATTACTAAAACTCGATTTATATGATGTAATTGATCTGCTAGAAAAATAAATAAGAGACGTGATTGAAGCTATGATCTACTTTTTTTCTTTCATTTTTTTTTTTCGTTCTGACCTAATAACATAATAAGTAAAGCAAGTGGAAGTGTAAAGAAAACACGCAATATAGAAATTGAAATAGCAAAAAATGAAAATAATCTACTATATAAAGTTAAAAGTGCTATGTATTACTGAATATCAGGTGACTAGACGAATTTTTCTTTATAGTCTTATCTACAGTGACTAGACGAATTTTTTTTTATGGTCTTATCTATAGCAGACGTGTTCGAAACCATAATTAGTTTTTTTTTTATCTAACCTAATGATCTAATAAGTGGAAGTGTGAAGAAAAAAAATATAAAGCACAAAAGACAAAAAAAATATATAGCATTGAAACTAGATATTGAACAATCGAATATCAGGTGACCAAGAAAATTTTTCTTTATAGTCTTGTTTATAGCAAATGTATTTGAAATTATAACTAGTTATTTTTTTATTTCGTTTAACTTAATAGTCTAATAAGTAGAAGCGTAAGGATATGTATATAGTATAAAGAACGAAAGAAATATATAATATTAAACTACGTATTAAATAATTGAAATATCAGGTTACAAGGCAAAATTTTTCTTCATAGTTTTATTTATGACAAACGTGTTCAAAACCATAACTAGTTTTATATTTAACTCTAAACTAATAATATAACAAGTGGAAGTGTGAGAAAAAGTATATAGAATAAAAAACGAAAGAATATATAACGTTGAAGCTACATACTAAACAATTGAATATCAGGTGATAAGGCAAATTTTCTTTTTTTTTACAATCTTGTTTATGACGAAAATGATTAAAACCAATATTAAGTTTTTTTTTTATTTTGTTTAATTTTATAGTTTGATAGGTAGAAGCATAAAAAAGAATATAAATTAAAGAATGAAAGAATTATATATATTGAGTTTAGCAGCAGTACGAATTGAATAATCGAATATCAGGTGATAAATTTTTTCAAATCTTGTTTATGGTTGACATAATCAAGAATGATGGCTTTTTTACTTAACTTTATACTCATAAAAAGCTCAGAAAGTTAGTGTATAAGAATTGGATTAATAAAGACGAAAAGATTAAATAAAGTTCAAGAAAGTGTAGAAGTGATACTTATCGAATAATCAAATATCTGGTTAGTATATAAAGCTCTTATATAATTTTGGTGTAATCTTGAATTGGTTAATTATATTTTTTGGTATTTAATTGTTATTTTTTCATCTAGATCTATAATCCAATAAAGTTTTTGTAGAAGAGAAGTGTTAGATATCCAAAAATTGAATTATTAAAGGACGAAAGATTCAAATAAACACTGAAGTGATATATATCGAACAGATAAACATTAGGTACTGTTTGTAAAGATTTTTTTATAGTCTCAATGTATTTTTCAGTCTAGCTTCATGAACTAATAATGACTTGGCATATTACTCAGGAAATAATAATTGTTAAAGAATTATAGAAATTGAATTTATACAAGATATCACGGCAACAAAACTTTACTGCGATTTAACATGAATGAAAACTCAGCATTATCTTATTTACAAGTTTATTATCATTATCCTCAACAAGAATCCCAGCATCTGCTACAGTCATCATCGCAACAACCACAATTTTTTTTAAATGATGATATGCCAACATTTGATTCACAAGATTCTTTCGTATATTCTATACAGCAACAAAACTCTTTTATGTCTGATATACTTACTATAAATACTACAGAAGATGATATATCTTCTAATATTGATATGTCGGAAATAGACCAAGATGGAGACCAGCTTAATATTGCTCCTGGTTTACCATTTAAAAGTTGGGAACAACTTGATCGTCATATTCAAATATATGCTAAACAAAATAGTTTTGTAACAATTATTCTTGAATCTGAATCAGATGACATTACACGTAGAAGATGTAGATATGCCTGTGAACATCAGGGAACAGGTCATTCAAAAAAAACGGTTATTTTAGAGCAGCAAAAACAATCTCGTACAAAATGACTAGGATGCAAGTGGTTAGTTAATGCAAGCTGCCCAAAAACAACCGGAATAATCAAAATTACTTCCTGTCATCTTGAACATAATCACGAAATTCATCCAGATAATATTATATTTGCTCCTCATTACTGACAATTTTCTGATGAAATAAAGCAAGATATTGAGTATTACACTTCTAAGGGTCTAAATATGCGAATGCAACTTTTTCTACTTGAGGATAAATATCCTGATATTTTGTTTTTACCTTATGATTTATCTCTTACTATCCAATCATTTAAACAACATAATAAGATTGACAATGAAGCATCTGCTCTTTTAGAAACTCTTCTTAAAAACAAAGCTCAAGATCCTAATTGGGTAGTTTGTTGGCGTTTAGAACCTATTTCTAACTCTTTAGAATTGCTCTTATGGATGGAACCTACTCAGGTTGAAACTTGGATCTGTTATCATAATATTATATTAAATGATAATACATATAGTACAAATCGATTTAATATGGCACTTAGCCTTTTTGTATGTATCGATAATCACAATAGGAGCCGTCTTGTTGCTCAGGCTTTAATGAATGACGAAACTACTTCTAGTTTTTAATGGGTTCTTTCAAAAATTTTAAAATCCACTGAATATCAGTCACAAATTCTTGTTACAGACTCTGATGTAGCAAATGAGGCTGCTATTGAAAATATAATGCCTAAAACTTATCGGATGAATTGCATTTATTATATTGCTCAGAATCTTCCAAAAAATTTAAAAAGTAAACTCGGGTTAGATTGGAATGATTTTTTAAAGAATTGGTATAAAGTACGCAATAGTCTATCAAAGCGGGGATTTGAGTCTGAGTGGAAATTACTCATTGACAAATATCCGGTTATAAAAATCTATCTTGAACGAACACTTTATAATACCTGGGCATTGGCCTGGATCTCTCGTAAATTCACTGCAAGTAGAATTATTAAATTTGCTAATTTGTATTGTTATTTATCTTAAATGACTTCTGTTAAATTATTTAAATAATTATTTGTGTTATTTAACTAGGTGTTCAGTCAACACAATGAGTAGAGGGCATTAATGGAATTATTAAGTCTACGTTAACAAGCAAAACAAGTTTATGTGAACTTGCAAGTGTTTTAGATAATCGACTTGCTCAAGAATCATTATTTATTTGCTATAATAATTGGTCAGAAGTTTACACAAAACCTACAAGTATAACAACTTCTGCACAATTATTTCCTGAAATTGATAAGTGGCTTGCTCAAGTTTTAACACCATCAGCTTTATCTATACAAAGAGCTGAAATGAAAAAAGCTCTTTGGTATACTTCAACACTAATTTCCAAGGAAAATCTCAGCACAAACTTTATACAAGAATATGATGAATGTGATTTTTTCGAAGATCTTGATGATTTTCCAACCACAAATATTAGTGAAATTACCGATTTATTTAGACTACCTATTCAAGAAATTTGGGAGGTTATCCGTTATCAAGCAACTAATAAGAACTACGTTATTATATTTGAAGATGGCACTCATATTTGTACTTGTTTGCACTTTATCAATCGAGGGTTTCTTTGTCGACATTTTATGAAAGTTATGATGGTTTCACAACTAGCCGCTTTTCATATTCTTATGGTTTCAAGGCACTGGTATACAGACGATAAATACTTAATATCACATGAATTATTAAAATCTTAACCATCGATTACTTATCAAAATGGACATTCGGTTTTAGTCTATAAATTTTTATTAATTCCAACATATTTAGATTATGAGGTTTCTTTTGATACTATATCAAAAACACTTGATTTCCGTTGTGCATATGGTATTACAAATGGTCTTTGTAAGAAAGCTATTTCTGTAGGACTAGATGCTGGTTCAACAGCTATGGAAACACTTAATAATTTTCTTAAAAATTTTATCCATCAACATTCTGCAAGTACAAAACAGTATCTGTCTGCCAACACTATTCAAAATAATATTATATATGATAACGAATCAAGTAATTCAGATAATGATCAAGAAGATATAGTATCTTTTGATACATCTACTGTTCAAGATCCAATTATTAAGAAGCACAAAAGAGCTCCAAGAGTAAAACGTATTAAAAGCTCTTCTGAATCAAGCAAGTCACATTCCAATAGTAATAAGATTACAAAAGATAAGGCTACAGGTACACGTTTTTGTTCCTGTTGCAAACAACCTAACCATTATGCTAAAACTTGTACTGCTACTGTTTAATTATCATATTGCTCTTGTTTTTGATTGTGCGAATAATACTAATTGTTTTTTAGCAATTCAAAATAGTTCATTTATTAGTAATTATAAGTTAGATTTTTTGAAATAGATAATTACTTCTATATGCGATTTATGTTGCTATTAAGTTACGATAAGTACTAGTCAAGCTATTTTTTTTTTTTGTTTTTGATTTTTTTTTTTGTGAATCGAATATGAATGAAATGAGATAATTACTTCTATATGCGATTTATATTGCTATTAAGTTACGATAAGTACTAGTCAAGCTATTTTTTTTTTGTTTTTTTTTTTTTTTTTGTAAATCGAATATGAATGAAACGATTATTAACTTGAAATAGAAGTGATATTTTTAAGTAGATCGTTGCAATTTTTTGAAGTTTGTAGAAGTGTAATGCTTAAAAAACTAGTATCTATATTATAATACCAAATTTGTAAGCAATCTATTGCTTAGCGTTAGAATTATAGTTAAGTGATTAAATTACCTTATGTTTTAAATAGATATAAAAAATTGTATAGCTGCTAATGCAAGTTAATATTGTTTAGGTAATGTATTTATATACTTTAAAATACTTTTAGAAATATAACGCTTTGCTAATAAAAAAAAAAAAAACTATAAAATTGTAGTTTCGAAAGAATATCCGTAATCAGTACAAAAATTCTCAAGTTAATACTTCGCTATTTATTGTAGTCTTGTTTGGGTTAAATGAGTTAATATAATGTATAGGTAGTGTAGTAATATTTTGCATTATAGACAGTAGTATATAATATTTCGCTAATATAATAAAAGTTTTTAATTAGTTAATACATAGCCTAGTTCGATCAACTTTCTGTGCTAGCGTTAGATTGACCAATAATATATTATGATTTTATTAGCTAATAATATACTACATGATATCTTGGCTAATATAAATAAAAATTCGGTATATACAAATTTATGAGTCACATAACATGTATATAAACCCTATGGCTACAATAACCATGGCTACAAATATATTACTCCTTTTGAAAATACAATATTTAGTTTCTGAAATCAAATTTCGGCAATTTATGAGTTATAATTCAGATTGTATATTCAAATCAAATGATACAATAATGTTGGCCAAACTTTTTGTAAATCTGGTACTTTATGTAAAATTACATGAAATTTGATTTCAGAAACTTATATAAAATTATATGTAATGTAAAGTTGTAATTTATGTAACACATTCCTACTATTAAGTAAAAATTGTTTTTAGGCCAATTTTATTATAATATGGGCTTATTTTTTAAAAAATTTTCTATTTTTGTGATAAAAATTAAAAAGTAATTTCTGGCCAGAAATTAGTAAACAATTATGTAATGCGGGCCAAAATTTTAAAGATCCTTGGCCGTTAGTCAATCAAAATCGAGGATCTTCAAAATTTTGGCCCGCATTACATAATTGTTTACTAATTTCTGGCCGGAATTTACTTATTAATTTTTTCATTACAAAAATATAAAATTTTTTAAAAAAATAAGCCCGCATTATGGCAAAATTGGCCCAGGAACATTAGTAAAATTATGAGTAATTCTGGCCTAATTTTTTGATCGTTCCTAGGTGCTGCGCGGCAGATCCTCAATTTTGATTGGCTAACGGCCAAGGATCTTCAAATTTTTGGCCCGCATTACATAATTGTTTACTAATTTCCGGCCGCGAAAATAGAAATTTTTAAAAAAAATAACCCACAAGCGATTTGATCGTTGCTCTTAGCCAATAAAAATCGAGGATCTGCCGCGCATTTTTGTGCGGTACCTAGGTTCAATTTTATTACCAGTAATCCAAACCATCGTATACATGTATACTCATTTGGCTGTAGATCTTGACGATGAAACGCGACGTACTATCTTAACTAATAGATGGCTCGAGAGAAAAGCACTTGACAAATTAGGTTAGTAGAATGAATAACATTAATATATTCGATTCGTTCAAAAACAAAAAAAAAAAAAAAAGTTTAAAATTGTATATTGTTTTAAGGAATAAAATATAAAAAAGGTAGATTTTCGAAAGATGAAAAATCCAAATTAGCTAAAGCAATGCAAGATTACCAAAGAGTTCGTAAATTTCGTATTTGATGAATTTTATATCACATATTAGTTTTAATCTTAAACTTTTATTTTCCAAATTTCAGATCAATAGTTTGTCTGATGATGACATTAAAAAATTGATATATGGAAGAAATCCAAAAGTTCATGAAAAGTTCTGGAAATATATAGGTATATCATTAAATAAACATTTATTATTTAATTAATATCCTTATATTTAAAATTTTATTTATCAGCTATGGCTTTGGGAACACGGCCATTAAAGACTGTTTCTCAACATATTCAAAGGCGATATCATCCATTTAATTATACTGGTGCATGGAGCCCTGAGGATGATAATGAATTAATCAAGTAAACATGCTTTAAATTTTTGTTTATCTCACAGATAATAAACCCTTTATTTATTGCTGTTATTATTTTGTAACTACGAAAGGCTCGTCAAAATTCATCATCATGATTGGGTCACAATCGGAAATGAATTAGGGCGCATGGGAACGCAATGTAGGGATCGATGGAGAGATTTTCTTCAATATAGGAATGACAAATTACGTGGTTAGTATTACATTGTTATAACATTATTAATTTTTTAATAACATGAATGTGTAATAATTTTTTTTAGATTATCCTAAAACAGAAATTTTTTTTATTAGGCAGATGGACCAAGGAAGAAGAGCAAAAATTAATAAATATTATTGTTGAAATAACTGATCAAAATGACGCAGACATTTCTTTGGATTGGGGGATTCCATGGCAACAAGTCTCATCTTTAATGGGAAATACTAGATCACCAAACCAATGTCGTGCGAAATGGTACTTAACGTATTATGTGTTTAAAAATAATAAGAAACTGCCTAACAATAAATCTGCTCTTCAGGGTCAAAGAATTGAGGTTACAATATGAACTTGATGGGCCGGTTCCAAAATGGACATCGTACGACAGTTATATACTAGTACAAAAGTAAGTCGATATTGCATCTGTGTCAGGTTATGCAGATCCTTGGCGCAGATCCATTAATAAACTCGAATGTTTTTTAAAACTTCTAGCGATGATTTCTCAATAACTACTTGATTAAATTTGGTAAAAATTTTTTTATTTTATTTCTATAATGTTATAGAATCAAGATAAAAAAGTGCATTGAATTTGGGTTAGTAGTTGTCGAGAAATCATCGTGAAAAGGTTTAAAAAAAACTCCAAATATCTTAGGAAAAAAAAAATCTTTACAACCAACTGTCCAAATTTTTTGATCTTAATTCTGTGGGTTCATAGAATTAAAATAAAATAATTTGATCGAATTTGAATAGCCGGTTGTCGAGAAACATTAAAAGCTAAAAAAAAATTTGACCGCAGTCTTCTTTTTTAAAGACATCAAAACTTTGAATGGCACTTACCTAGTCAAATTTGTTTTATTTTAATTCTATGAGCATATTGAATTAAAATAAAATAAAAAAATTGATCGAATTTATCAGGTAAGTACTGAGTAATCTTCGCTCAAAGTTTAAGCGCCTATAAAAAAAGCTGTGGCCGGGGACTTTAAATGACGATTTCTCGACAACCAACTATCAGAATTTGATCAAAATTTTTTATTTTAACTCTATGAATCCGCAAAATTAAAATAAAAAGTTTCATCAAACTAGGATAATTGACTGTTGAGAATTCATTGTTTAAAGTTTTTTAAAAAAATTTAAGAAAAAGAATGTTGCAATGAAATTTTTATTTAAACTTTAAATAAAGATTTCTCGACAACCAACTATTCAAATTTGATAAAAATTCTTTATTTAATTCAGTGGATTAATAGAATTAAAAAAAATTTTTGATCAAATTTTGATAGTTGGTTGTCGAGAAATCTTCATTTAAAGTCTAAAAAAAATTTGGCCCCAGCTTTTTTTTATAGGCGCCAAACTTTGAACGAAGATTACTCGGCAATTACCTGATCAAATTCGATCAAATTTTTTTTTTTATTTAATCCTATATGCTCATAGAATTAAAATAAAAAATCTTGATTGAATTTGTCTAGGTAAGTGCTGAGTAATCTTCGTTCAAAGTTTTGATGTCTTAAAAAAAGAAGCTGTGGTTAAATTTTTTTTAGCTTTTACTGAATATTTCTCGACAACCAACTATTCAAATTTGATCAAAATTTTTTTATTTTAATTCCCTGAGCCCACAGAGTTAAAATCAAAAAATTTTCATCAAATTTGGACAGTTGGTTGTCGAGAAATCGTTATTTAAAGTTTAAAATTCAAAGAAAGAAAAAAATTTTTTTTCAAGATATTTGGTTTTTTTTACGATGATTTCTCGACAACTAGTAAACCAAGTTCAATGTACTTTTTTTTATTTTGGTTCTAAAATATTATAGAAATGAAGTAAATAAAATTTTTTACCAAATTTAATCAAGTAGCTATTGAGAAATCATCTCTAGAAGTTTTAAAAAATATTGATAGGATCTGCGCCACATGCGTCGATATTAATATTTGGTTAAGGAACTTTGAACCATTCGTTTTTTCTATTTCTTGATAAGGCTAAATGAATCTCAATATGATGATGAAACCTCTGTTGACTGGAGTAGTCTAAATGACGAAAAATGGGGTCCATGGTAATTATTACCTTTGTAAATTTTCTTATTAAGGTGATTCTTGTTTGAATACAACTTACTGTAAACATAATAGGACCTCGGGTTATTTAATGAATATTTGGAATCACTTAAAATATACCATAAAGGATTTTAATATTAAATCATTTAGAGGTCAGTTTCCTTTATTCTCCAACTTTCTCACGTGTTACTTAGCAAGTTTATATAAAGTTTTATGTTGGTTAATTATTCTCAGATAATGTTATCGAGCTTTTGGATCGATACACAAATATGCCACCTAAAAAAGGATATCGCTCTCGGATGATAATTGAATCTGATGAAGAAGATCAAAATCATCAACATTCTTGCGAGCCGTCTTCATCTAAAATAAATCAATCTGCAATAGACTCACAATCTTCGACTGAATATCTATCAACAACCTCGTCTGAAGAATCCGATGGAAGTTCAAGTTCATAGAGTGAGTGGGTAAGACTTTTAAAGTATAAGTGCAGAAATTTTTACAGAAACCTGTATTTTTTGCCAAATATATTTATTATATAATAAATATATATATAATTTTTATATCTCAAAATATTATTTGTTAAAAAATTTATTAAATATATATTAAATATATATTATGAAATATATTAAATATATTATGAAATATATTAAAAATATTTTTTATAATTCTATTAAGTCTCTTACAACGAAATAATTAAAATATGGTTAAAATAGAATTTAACTAATTTTAAAATTATAAATTTTAACTATTATTTTTTTAAATTTTTTATATAAATTAAAGATTAGTGTTAAGATACAGATTAAATTAAAGTATAAACTATTTATATCCAAAATTAGATACTAAAAACTTTTTTTTAATAGCTCAAAGCTAGTTTACAGTAATATAAAAATTGCGAAAATAATGTCGATATAAAATTCTTTCCGTAAGTGTATACGTCATACTTGCCAGATAACAAGAAAATATTTTTTGCGAATGTATTCTGAACGGTACTACAAAATGTCAACACGAATGCATGTCCAGTGTTTATAGTCTATACGAAAATTTATGTCAAATATTGTTCGCTATTTTTGGAACAACTGATAAAAATTGACCGAATGAATTTTCAGCCGATTCTAAGTTAGTGATTTCGGCATAATAGATTCAATAAAATTGATATTTAAGATGGGTGAAAGCCACTAAAATTTTATTTTATTATTTTTTAATATCTATGTATGTGATTAAAAAAAAGGTCGCGTATAGGGAATTTTCACCCACCCGGTATATACGTACGTAATTTAAGACCAGGTAGCTAATATAAATATTATTGAATATAGTAGAATACAGAAATATGATACTTTCAAAGCATCTTTGCTGGAAAACAAGTGAAAAAAAATTTGGAAGGCCTACCATTTCGAAAAATTGCCAAACACTTAGATGTTAACATATCTTTATAAGTCGGGTTCTCAAGCACTTTCAAAGATATGGATGTATTGAAAAGCTTCCGTCACTTTCAGAATTACAATCCGAGATAGAATTCTGATTAGACGTAAAAAATTAGTCTTATGACAATTTGATGAGAACTTATATATACAAATAAAAATAATATTTTATTTACATATTTATTTATATACAGGATCTTTCTTTAAACATGTACTCCAATTCGTGCAATATATGTTTATTATAAAAGTCTATATAATTAATATATAGTGTAGTAGTGCCTTTTTTATATTTCTTGTTAAGACTTATTGACACACTAAACATGTTGGATAAGCATTCGAACGAAAATTTAATAATATATATAAAAAAAGCATCCAACCATTATGAAAATAGCTGTAACAATTTATTGACTGGGACTAAAGAAAATATAACTCAAGTTATAATTCCAATCAACTAAGTTTTATTTAATGTTTGTTGAAACTGCAAATCTATATTTATTTATATTATATAAATTATATATAATGAATTTTTAAAATCATAGTAAAATCTATAACGATAAAAGTAATTTATTTTATTTATTTATGTAATACGTAAGCAAATCAGTATGAATCAATAAAATATTGAAACGGTTGATCTAAGAGCCTTTAGCTTAGTTCCTCGGAACATATATCGATTATACTATTAACAATCGACATGCAATTAAAACCATTAGGAAAGAATTTTGTAAAGACTTGAAC